AATAAATAAATAAAATCTTAAAAAAAAATAGTGGAGAAAGAACAGGTCATTCTATAAGGATTCAAAACAATTAGCTACTCATTAAAAACAGTTAACACCATTCACCAAGATAAATTCTGGGTGAATTAATATAAAAATATAAGACTGTGTGTTTATGGTGCTGCTTTTCTAAGCTTTTTTTTTTTTTAAGACACTACCATTTTTTTTTTAGATTTTTATTTATTTGAGAGAGAGAGCAGGGGGAGGGGCAGAGGGAGATGGAGAAGCAGACTCCCCACTGAGCCAGGAGCTGGAAGATGTGGAGCTTGATCCCAGGACCTGGAGATCATGACCTGAGCCAAAGGCAGACGTTTAACCGATTGAGTCCCCCAGGTCCCCTGACGGTGCTGCTTTTCTAAAAGTAGACACAGGAAGTGAAAACCGAAAAGGAAAAGCGTGGTAAATTTGACGATATCAAATACCAAAATGTATGAGAAAAGCGGCTTTATCCATAATTGCCAGAACTTGGAAGGAACCAAGATGTCCTTCAGCAGGTAGATGGCCCACAGGTGAGTGATGTGTGATGCATCCAGACAGTGGAACATCATTCAGCACTAAAAAGCCATGAAGAGACGTGGGGGGACCTTACATGCTTATTACTAAGTGAGAGAAGCCGATCTGAGAAGGCTACACACCGTATGATTCCAATTATATGACATTCTGGAAAAGGCAAAACGAAAAAGGCGGTAAAAAGATCAGTGGTTGCCAGGAGTTCAGTAAGGCGGGAGGGAGGGAGGGATGAATAGGTGGAACATGAGATTTTTAAGGCTGTGAAACTAGTCGACACAGTAATGGTGGATACGTGTCGCCAAAGATTGATCAAAATCCATAGAATGTACAACACAAAGAGAAAACCCTAATGTAAACTAAGTTAATCCTTTAATTTAGTTAATAATTTAGTTAATAATCCTGGATCAGTATTGGGTTGTCAATTGTAATAAATGTCCTACACTGATGGCAGATGTAAATCATGTGGGAAACTGTGGGGGTGGCTACAGATCAGGGCTTTTCTTTTCCCTCTGGAGAACCAGTTGTTAAACATTTGTCTTCACACTATGGGAACACAGGATGGCCCCCTCCCTCCACTCCCCACGCTGGGTTCCAGGATGCAGAGCCCCGCCCCCTCTGTCTCTGCTTAACCTCCACCTCTGCTCCCCTTATCTCCATCTTTCCTCTCGCCTCCTCTTCAAGAAGAGGGGAGAGGGTGATCGGGCAACCAGGGGAAGACAGACACATGCTGGGCATCATGGGAAGAGCCCTGGAGTTGAGGGCATTTGGATCTGGGCACCAGTCACAATGACACCATTGACTCCCTTCGTGACCATGGACAGACTTTACCACTCCAGGCTTCTGTTTTCTCACCTGTGAAATGGGAACAATCATACGCAGGGCTGCCATATACAGCCTTGCAGGCATTGTTCTGCTTCAACTCCAGGGAGGGACATGCACGTAGACTGCATTGTGAATGGACCCTATGGAGATGTGCAGTGGGCAACCTGAACAACGAACGGTACATAGTCCTGATCATGGTACCTCATGATACTTTAGAGGGTTGTTATGAAAAGTAAGAGGTAATAACACAGAGTGCTCAGCCCACAGCAGGTGCACAAGCATGATTCCTTTCCTTTCTTGTTATCTACCCCTTCCCTCCTCAATATCGTATCACCCTATCTTAGGGTTAGGTTCATGAGGGCTCCAGATGCCATGGTCCACACAGAGAAAGGTCCCCAGGGTTGTAATAATCATGCTAGCTGTAATGATTACATGCCCCCTAGGCACCAACACTGAAGCTGCCTTGCCTCCTTTACCTACCCTTCACCTTACCCATCACAGTCCTCATCTTAGGGTTCAGAGATTTGAATGAAGCTCAGAGAGTGAAGCTTTGCCCAGCGCCACATGGCGAAAACATGGTGGAAGAGGATTCCCACTCAGATCCCTGGGAATCCAAGTCTTCCCAGCCAGTGGGCTCAAAGATTTTTGACCATGAGCCACAGAAAACCATTTCATGTTTCAGTCACCACACACACAGACATATGCATAGAACTGCAAAGTTTCACAAAACAATACTCACTCTTGTTATATTTGATGGTATCAGATATGCCTATTCTATTCCATTCCATTCTTGTTGCCTTTTTTTTTTTTTTTTTTTTACTGCTGGCAATCAGTGAAGGTAATTTCATGACCCACTAGTCTAGGGAGTCCAGATCTACAGTTTTGAAAAATACCTCTAGGCTGCTTCTCCCAAATGACCTTCTAACACAGGCATCAGCAAACTATAGCCCACGGGCTCAATCCGGCCCGGTGCTTGTTTTTGTAAATAAAGTTTTATTGGTACACAGCCATACTCATCCATTTATGTATTGTCTCTGGCTCTCCAGCAGTGGAGAAGTAGTTGCAACAGATGCTGCATGGACCACAGAGCCTAAAATATCTACGTATCTGGTACTTAACAGAAAAAGCGTGTCCCTCTGTGCCCAGATCTGACTCTGTGTCTCCCTTGTTTAATTTCTCCAGGCCTGCCTTTTGCCCTCTCGATCAAACTCAAGCTCCTTGGCTGGCTGAGAAAAGCGCCCTCCTCTGGCTTCCCTGCTCCGGTCCTGCCGACGGCCCTTCTCCTTCCATGCTGTCCCCCAACACTAACAGGCCCATGGGACAAAGGGGGACAGAGCCCCACCTGGCTTCCTGACCCCTTGTTCTGCTCCCCCCCACAGGCCTCCTGGGAATGGTAGCCCACATGATGTACACGCAAGTATTCCAGGTCACTGTGAGCCTTGGCCCTGAAGACTGGAGACCCCACTCCTGGGACTACGGGTGGTCCTTCTGGTAAGTGGCTTTGACCTCCAGGCATGCTGGGACTTTAGCAGCTTGGCCCAGCTGGGGGGAGAAGGGCAGAAGAAGGCAAAGGTAGCTAGCCCGGAGTCCAAAGGCACTTTGAGACCCTAATACTGCGGTTGGCCAACTGTGGCCCGTGGGCCAAATGTGGCCCACCGCCTGTTTTTACGCAGCCCTCAACCTAAGGATAGTTTTTACACGTTGAAATGCTGGAAAATAAACCAAAAGAAGAATAACATCTTGCGATGTGTGAAAATTATGTGAAATTCAAATTTCAGTGTCCGTAAATCAAGTTTTATTGGGACAGAGCCACACTTAGGTTTATGTGTTGTCTGTGGCTGCTTTCCTGCTACAACAGCAGAGTTGTGGTTGTGACCCACACTCAGTGGCCCACAAAGCCTAAAATATTTACTACCCGGCCCTTTACAGAGAAAGTTTGCCGACCCTGCCACACAGGTCGCTCTGGAAGGGGGAGAAAGAAGCTGGCGGGCCGTCTGGGCCCTGGGAGGTCTGCTAGGCTAGGTGTGGAAAGAAAGGCAGGATCGGCAATAGACTCCCACGTGTAAGTAAACACGGGATGTGTATTAGCTCAGATAACAGAAAAGTCCAGGAGGATCAGCTAGGGTGCCTTGTGTTGTAACAGAAAAGTCCATCCCCGTCAGTCCAAGCAATACGGAAACACACTGGTTCCTGTGAGTGGAAGGGGCAGCTGTGTCGTGGACTTCAGGGTCCGTTTGATCCAGAGTCTCTGACGTCATCAGGACTGATTGCTCTTCCTCTGGGATCATCTGCACATGTTAACCCTGTCCCTGGGGGGGCTTCCCTCCTGGTGGTGAGAAAGCTGCTCCTGAGGCTGCTGCTTCTTCCTTCACATACAGGGGAAGAAAGGGCTTCTCTTTCCCCAACATTGACTAAAGTCCCAAGCCTCCCTTTGATGGGCCCAACTTAGGTCATTTTCTCTCTCCTGAATCATCACCACAGCTGAGGGAATGTCATGAGCTTATTGGCTCAGCTTGCCCACGCTCATCTCTGGAGTCAGGAGTGAGCCAAAAGCTCGCAAATGGCGAGTGGGTGGAATGGATGCTGGGTGAGCTACCAGAATGTCTGCTTCAGGCACAGCTGGATCCAAGTGATCAGGTGATTCATCAGTAGCTGAGGCAGTCTCCCCTCCCCACTTTCCTGTCTCTCTTCCCTTTGTGTTGGTTGGCTTCATTCACAAGCAACTTTTCCCTAAGCAAAAATGGTCACCAAGCCCAGGTCTAGGCTTACATTTTACAAATGTAGCAACACCAGCAGAGAGATGGGGCCTCTTCCCAATATTTCCAGCCAACATCCTGGTTAAGGCTTTCATTGAATTAGCTTAAGTCATGTGTCCATCCCATGACCAATGATTTAGACCCTGAGGAGACTGGACTGCTCTAATTGGTCTGGCTTGATTACAAGGTCAAGGAAGAGAGATTGGCCCCACCCAAACCCTTGGACAAAGAGAGGAGGAGGAGAGTCCCCCAGTGGAAAATTGGGAGTGTGTGGGGGTGGTTATCAGAAGAAGGAATGCATGCTGGAAAGACAGCGACCACAGATGTCCAGGGTCTGCAGGTCTGCTTCTGGTGGCTGGAGGCCATTTATCTACTTAGTCATTTTACAGGCATTTACCGAATGCTTACTTGGGGACAGCCACTCTCCTAGGTGCTGGGAGCACGGCAGTGGCCAAGACACTGTTGTAACAGGCAATTGAGACAAGTAAACAAGCTATCATGTGGATGGGGGGGTTCACAGACCCAGCTTTGGGCAGGGAGAGTCCTCTGGGGAGAATGTGGTCAGGCAGACTGGTGGAGGAGGGAATAAGATAGTGTGCTGGGCAGGGGGACAGCAGGTACAGAGACTTTGGAGGAAGATGGTCAGAGTGGAGCAGAAAGGGCTCCAACTCAGAAAGACCCCCCTTTCAGACCAGTGGGGACTCCTGCTGATTTAAGCGCCTTCCTACTCTCTCCTTGGCCCCACCCCTGTAAAGGCATGTGCCTTAAAGGGACCTGGACCCTCCAACACCACCCCTGATCGCTTGAAGTGGAAAGACCGCAGGGAAACCAGCTAAGGCTCTGGTTCCATTTTATCCAATGCTTCCCTCCTTCTGGCAGTTCTTGCTTGAGCTCTTGACCTTGGAAGTTTTTCATCTGAGCTAGAGAAGGGGACAAAGGAAAGGAACATTTTGGAGTGTTGAGCACGTGTGTAATAATCTCTGCTGTGTATTGAGCACTGGTATGTCGTCATCATAACAATGCTATGGAGTGGGTACTTCCTGGAGAGGAAACTGAGGCAAAGGGAACTCAAGTCACTTATCCAGGCTATCTGACTGCTGGGCGGCAGAGCGGGATCTGAACCCAGGCGGTCTGGCCTCAGAGCCCGCACCTTCAACCTCTGTATTGTGTCTCTCTGAGAATGGGGTAATACAAAGACAGTTTGTAGATGTGCTTAGCACCCTGTTTGACATATGCATAAGTGCTCTTAAACTTCAGCCCCCCCTTTTTTTTTAAGATTTTATTTATTTATTTAATTTTATTTTTTAAAGATTTTATTTATTTATTTGACAAAGAGAGACATAGCGAGAGAGGGAACACAAGCAGGGGAATGGGAGAGGGAGAAGCAGGCTTCCCGCAGAGCAGGGAGCCCGATGCGGGGCTCGATCCCAGGACCCCGGGATCATGACCTGAGCCAAAGGCAGACGCTTAACGACTGAGCCACCCAGGCGCCCCTTATTTATTTATTTAGAGAGCACACAAGCAGGGGGAAGGGCAGAGGGAGAGGGAGAGAGAGGATCTCAAGTACACTCACACTAAGTACGAGGACGAAGTCCAATGTGGGGCTTGATCTCGTGATCCTGAGATCATGACCTGAGCCAAAATCAAGAGTCTGGCGCTTTACTGACTGAGCCACCCAGCCGCCCCAGGCTCTAGCCCTTCTAATATTACCATTCTTAATATGAACTTACTATATGCAAAACCCCCATGTTGAATGTGTGAAAACCAGGGCTCAGAAAGGTTGGGTCACCCACCCAGGGTCCCACAGCCTTAAGTGGTAATAAGATTCTGAGCCTCCTCCTCCCACAGGCCTCTCTAGAAGCCCCTAGTTCTCCACCCTGGCACTCAGCATCTAAAACCCAGCCGGCTGGTGTCAGCCACGGGAACCTTTCTTTCCCTGAAAGCCGGGCCTCCTGCCCTGCTCCCCTCCTCCCTTGGGGCTGGCCTGATTTTCATTTGACTTATTTAAGGCCGGGGCCCAATGTGCGGCCCCTATTAGGGCTGATCCATTTCTTCTTGTCACCGAAGCCTGCAAGATGGATCAGCCCCATTTTTCGTCCCTTCTTTTGGGGCCTTGCCAGGGCTGTGCAATGTCATTTCTCTTGTTTAATATGTGTGAGGCCATTTGTCAAAATTCTGGCCACTACACTGCCCCTGTCCCCACCCCAGGCACCAGAGAGGAGACCAGCTTTGAGGCCAGACAGTGTCAGCCTCTGTCTCCCCGCCCAGCAGAGCAAAACAGGCCTCGGGGGCTTGGGAGGTTGGGGGATCAGAGATGCCCAGCTGAAGTTGGGCACCAGCTTCTGGGAGGGACACCTGCACAGGAAGGAGAAGGTTCCTTGGTTGGGAATCAGACAGCCTGGGAGCAGACCCCCCCCCGGACCTTCGCCAGCCGCGGACTCACACCAGGTCACTCAGCCTCCCCGTGCCTCAGTATCCTCATCTGTAAAATGAGGATGGCCTGAGTTTCTACTCATGGGGCTCTTGCGAGTAGTGTGTCAGCGTTCTCTTCATTTAGAACACATCACCCTAAAACAAAAATGTGTTATTTTCTCTTGTGGTGTAGTGGGTTGACCGGGCTTAGCTAAGTTGTCCTTGCTCAAGGTCTTCCATGACGCTTCAGTGGGATGTTGGCCAGGTGGCATCATCTGGGGCGTGGCCGGGCAGGGTGTCCTAACTGACCCCTCCCAGCACTGGCTGTGGGTGCCCGCTGGGGGCTGGGGGCTCAGCTAGGCTGTCAGCGGGAGCGGCTTCTTGCGGGGAGCAAGCATTCCAAGCCATCTGAGCAGAAGCTACAAGTTTATTTTATGACCTTGTCTCAGGAGGCACGCTGTCACTTCTGGTGCATTCTGTTGGTCGAGAGCAAGTGATGGGGCCAGATTCAAGGTGAAGGGGCCGCACGAAGCATGAACCTTAGGAGGTGAGGCTCCGGGTGGGGGCATCTCTGAGGAGGAGCTACGGTGAGGACCGTGTGGAATAAGGCGCGTGAGGTGCTTAGCACAGAGGATGTGCTCCACGAATGTTCCTGTTAGAGGTGAACAACGCAGCCTCTCAGTGTATTCATCTCTGGGGTAGGTAGTAGTAATACGTGTTTCATAGGGTTGTTGGACGGACTACCTGGGACCAAGCTCTTAAAGCGCTCGGGACACAGTAAGTGCTCCTAAGTGGTGGTGATTCTAAGTGGTGACAATGACATTGAGCCTTTGGTAATGCTGCTCTCACTTGATGGGAGGCACGTGCCCCGAATGTCCATGCAATGACACCCGGTGTCATTTGTGTCCTGTGGGCGTGCAGGCAGCCCCTTTTGCCATCTGTGCTCTGGGCTCCACCTGCCCTGGCCGTGCCCTCCCGTCCCTGCCCGACTCCCCGCTTTGGCCCTAAGCCTCGGAACCCCATCCTCGCCTGAGCCCGGGGACCCTCCAGCCCTCCTGCCTGCCTTTTTTCCCCCCCAGCTCTGTGTCTCAGCTCCCCGAGCTGTCTGGTCCTGCCGTGCTAACTCCCATGGAGGGGTTACCATGCCCAGATCAGGGACCAGGACACAGCCTCAGAAACAGCAAGGCCCAGGTTGCACAGTTAGTCCAGGGGCTGCAAACTGCATGCAGCCCAGGGCCCCTAGATGTTTTGTGTCGCCTGCCACGGTGTTAGATAAAAGATATATTGGGGCGCCTGGGTGGCTCAGTTGGTTAAGCGTCTGCC